GGGAAACTAAGGTCTATTGGTGACATTCTCTGAGCTTGAGCCTAGGTGATGTCCCGTTTCTGTGTTCTTTTCTTTTCCAAGAATTTGAGGGCAGAGAAGGAAAAAAGGGGGGAATGGAGAGAGAGGGGGGATGAAAGGAAGGTCCAAGAGAAGGAAATGAAAAGAACGATAAAATAACAGTAAACAGTAACAGTAACAGTCGATTTTTTATTTTTTTTCTATTTTTTCAAGCATCGCTACCACTGTTTGGTTGTGTTCTTTTGCCGGTGCTGATCTTTGTCCTTTGTTAAGTCAGTTGATAATCCTCTTGTGTTTATTGATTCTCAATGTCACTGGTGCTTTTCCTTTTGAGCTTTGAGAGCCTAGATGTGACCGGGAAGTGACAACTGGTCTAGCTCTGTTAGTACACCCAAGAGGTGTTGAAATACAGACCCAGGTTCAAATCCAGATGGGGAAGAAAAGCAAACGAAGTGTGAGGGTATTCTGTTGCAAGCCTGTCCTTCGGGACATCCGTTAAAATTGGAACGATACAGAGAAAGAACATTAGCATGGCCCCTGCGCAAGGATGACACGCATAAATCGAGAAATGGTCCAAATTAAAAAAAAAAAAAAAAAAAAAAAAAAAAAATGTTGCAAGCCGGCCATCCGTTGATCCAAACAGAGTGTTCAATGTTATTTTGCGTGGTTGGCCACTGGACGATTACCGTCGTTGTCTGTTCCCCAATGTTGCCCTGTGATTGGGCTGGGCTGCCAGGGGAAGCCATCCAGGCAGTGGTGCAGGTTGCGGAGTCATCTGCCCGTCCAAGGTACTCCAGGCATGTAAAAACTGGAGAATTCTTTTTTTTTTTTTCCGCCAGGGGTAGAAGAAAAATAAAAGGTCTCTTTTTTTGCCACTGAAAGCAGGAGCCCAAATCCAGGCTCTTTTTGGTTTTCCAGTGGTGTCCATTGGGGGTGGGGGTATAAATGGAGCTTGAAAATGATCGGAGGGGTGTAAAATGGGGTGCCTTCTTTTTCGTCTTCAGTTCATTAAGGAATTCTGGGGTGACCTGCAGCCAAACGCCGTTTGCATTGCACCTCTACTCAAAAATAGGTTTTTCCAAATTGTTTTAGCTTTTAATTTCTATTTTATGTACTTTTTCCTGTGCCAGTGTTGCCCTGGACCTCGCTCAGAGACTGTGTGGCAAGGCAACTGTGTCTGTCGATGGGCACAAAATTTGTGCCTGGGCACATGGAAAAGTGCTGCAGGCCATTGGGTTTTGGGAGAGTACCGACATGGCTGTGCAGCATTTGTGTGTCGATAAAAGAATTTCAGTTTTCAATGCTACCTGTTTTGGACTCTGTTGGCTAGCCAGCAAGATCTGCTGGGGGGAGGATGATTCAGAGGAAATCTTGTCGTAAAGTTGGGCAGACAAGGTGATTCCCAGGGGTGATCATCCGACCGTATTTACGGGCGGCCGGACCGGGATGTACATGACCACAATTACGTCCAGAAACAAGTGAAAACTTACTAAAAAGAGTCCTATTGTGAGTAGGCTTGTATTTCGAAGAATCACCGTGCGGTTATGTTTAGGGTTTTTGCATGTGTGCTTCATCACAATGCAGGAAGGTGTGTTATTCTGTTTTTTTGGGAAGGGGGTTCCGACATCTACATGTTTGTCAATGCATCTAATATTCCAAGCATCTTCGCGTTTTTTTGGGGGGGGGTCTGATGTCTACGTTTTGGTGGGACATCTCCATGTGTGACGTCTGCAGGTGACTCCTTGTGACCACGTCTTCCATGCAAACTGTTTACAGCGTTGGATGGATGTCAAGATGGAATGCCCAACTTGCCGGAGGCCCTTGCCCCCAATATAGTTTCAGCGAGGAGAGATTATATTCTGTCTGGAGGTATTATGTTAGTGTATATGCATCTGCTGCTTGTCTGCATGGCTGCGCACCTGTCTGTCTGCTTTTCTGCCTCGCCGCCTGCTTGCTTCTTAAACCGCCAGTTCACATGGAGCCTAAGTTGAAGAAGCTAACCTTCCTAGGCTCACAAGCCTGCAACTACGCCTTCTCAAAGTGGCTTACTCTGCTTTGGCTGAACTAGCCGTTTGAGGTGATGTCAAGCAGGTGGGACTGGGACTGGGACTGGGTTTCCAGCCTGTGATGGGACGCAGGAACAGAGGCGGTTTAGAAAGGTACAACGCTGGAGGACTGGGTAAACAGGTAAGAGCCCTACTCTGCGTGCTTGGGGTGAACTGGTGGTTTAAGGGGATGTCAAGCAGGCGGGTATCGACTGCCCGCCTGTAATGGATTCCAGGAACTGGGAGGGTTTAGGGAGGTAAAAGCCTTGAGGAGCTAAAAAGAGTGTTGTCGTGTACAGGCTCGTAACGGTGGCACTCTGCGTGCTTGGGGTGAACTGGCGGTTTAAGGTGATGTCAAGCAGGCGGGATCCGATTGCCCGCCTGTAATGGATTGCAGGAACTGGAAGGGTTTAGGGAGGTAAAAGCCTCGAGGAGCTAAAAAGAGTGTTGTCGTACAGGCTCGTAAAGGTGGTAGCCACTGGGATAGCAGCAGTCGGATACTCGTGGGAATTTATGTTGGGGGGAAAAGTTGAAGGACAGTTTGTAGGAGGTAGAGAGAAGTGGCTGTGGGGAAAGGTGGGGAGAGGGAAGAGGAGTGGCAATAGTTCGGTGGGTGGTTAGGTGGGGGTGAAGGGGCTGCTGGTACACATGCGAACAGGGTTTCAATTGATTGTCGAGAAAGTGTCCAGGTGACTTGTGTCCTATGAAGATGCGTATGTATTCTTCGAGACCCTGTGCAGCTGTTGCCGAGTCTAGGTCTGTTTCTTACCTTATCGTTCTACAGACCGATATTCATGATATTATATTCTCTTTTCCTTGCTGTATCCGTCGCTTCAATATACCCTGATCAGTCTCTTTGCTGATTTATGGACAGACTCGTTGCATGATTTTGGTTGCAACGGCTGGTTGTGTAGCATCTTGGTTTCCTTTCCTCCACTTTGTTTCCTCTCTGTTTCCTCCACTCGTTGCATGATTTCGGTATAGGAGCGTTGGCGCTCATCAAGCGCATTGTATTGATACCAGTTTGTAGTGAATTTGTTTGTTTGGACTTTAGGGTCTGCCTTTAGAGGAATCGGCACCTATGGAGGAAGCAGCAGCTGTTGATGGGTTCGGAGCTACATGATTATGGATTATGAATTTGTCCATTGATTGAAGCCAGATGTTTTCCCATGGTGGTAAGTTCAAATTCTTTCACCAGGCACAGATGATTCATTCTAATTTCTAAAAGAGTTGTAAAAAGACTGAGGGGAACCGTAATTTAGTATTTGTTTGGTTGCCAACTGTCATTTACCCTAGTGGCAAATGCCGCAAGTCTCAGATCCATTACCCATCTCCTAGAAGACTCTTTGCACCCAAGACCTGTCACGAACGCCCTGTCACGAAAGCCATCATGGTTATCTCATTATAGTTACTCTGTTACATTTCGCTTAATCATGCGAACGATTGCCAAATATAATATGGGTGCGTATAGAAAGGGTCCCCACTTCACCCTCCCCCCCCCTCTCTCTCTCTCTCTCTCTCTCTCTCTCTCTCTCTCTCTCTCTCTCTCTCTGTGTGTGTGTGTGTGTGTGTGTGTTTGTGACCCTCGCCGTGCGTGCTCTGAAGACTTGGTCGCTGGAACGTTTTGACGTTCAAGGGTCGAGGTCGGTGGCATGTGTGGGTGTTTTCTCAGTTGGCAATTTAAGTAGGTATGGCGAGGTTGGGAAATGAGTCCCAAGGTGATCCCTCATATTTACATACATCCATAATGTGACAGCACACTTTCATCCTCCTCACTTCCGAACGGCTCCTGAGGATCCATGTCAAGGAGTCTTGTAATGCCAGGGTGGTTTTGCAATTGTCAACCAAAATGGTTCGGGAAGGGACAGTTTTAAATTGAACGGGACAGGATAGAGAGGGTGTCTCGGTCAGTTTCTTTTGAATCACGTCATCGACGAGTATGGGGCGTAGCAGTCTCTCCGTTTCACTGTTTTAAAAAGCAACAATGTAGGCAGGATTTTTGGTTTGGGTTTAAATTTTGACACCTGTCCGTGGTATGGTGCCCCCTTAACTGCCCATCGCCACTCCTTCCCTGTCCCCTTGTTGTCTCATCGAAGAAAGAAAAGAGAAGACGTGCGTCTAATGTTCTAATAAGCATGTGAGAGGGACATCTAATAAAATTGTAATGATGCAGAGAAGACTAGCATGGCCCCTGCAAAAGAGAGGAAGCAAGAAATGATGCGAGGGGGTGTCTGTCCTGAGGTGATATGAATTAATGTCATGGTTTCGATATTTCTCAGACATAATGTCTTTACGCTTCAACATATAAGCTGCTGGAGTTAGCATTGTCTGTTGCATTTCAGTTTTTAACTCTTTGACAGGTTTGCATACGTTGATTTGATCAGCAGCCAGCTTTGGCAAGGTGCAATGCTTTTTACCTATATCCCTCTCAGATGGCCTTTTCAGTTCCACTCTGTTTATTTCTCCCTCTCCCTCAGATGGTTATTTCAATTCCATTGTGTTAAACCACCAGTACTTCCTAAAGTCATGCCCGTTAATGCGCAACGATTTTAGGAAACGTACGGGCCACTACAGGAGCGACCAAATTCATCCGACTAGAAATGGTTCACTTTTTTTTTTTTTCGCGGCGGCCAATAGCTGGGCCAAGTACTGATGGTTTAAGTTGTCGGCAGCTTGTTGATGTTTGCAGCAATGCCTTTCTCTTTTTCTGTGCTGTTTGGGTCCCATGACTGCAAGGTTCCCGAATGCTGACAAACGAAAAAAGGTCGTCCTTGAACCACCACTACCTCTACCACTCCTGGGGAAACCTCCTGTTTTTTCCGTCTCGGGGATCGGACGGACGACGCTCGGCAGTTGGGTCTTGTGGGGGCGCGTCTGAAAAACAATAAGAAAAGCAAAAATCCATGTCGGGGAAGGCCGTGACTCGCTCGCAAGAATCTGACGACTATTGCGGCCAGATTCAGGTTTTCATTGTTTGTCTTTCTATTTTAGTTGTGTTGGTGCCCTGCCAGCCAGCCAGGCCACAGTTCATGGGATGCTGACACTTTGTGCAGGAGGGCATACCTGCACAACTACTATGCTGAATGTATGTGGCCCCTTTCCTCCCCTATGTTCAGTTTCGATTTTCTTTGTGCAAGACTGCCTTGGAAGCAGAGTCATGAATCCATCTCATGGCTGGAATCATGTGCCATAAAGGAAATGCATAGAACAGGATCATTTTCACGTGATCTCAGCTGTGATTGCCAATGACAAGCTCTTCGTCGACCTCTGGAGACTTGTTCGTTTCTCCTTTGCTGGGAGGCACTCCGATCCTCCTAAAGCTAACTTTATTGTACGCGTAAACGCCGTCAACCGCGGTGCTTCAGTCGCCACAGTGTGTACAGTGAGTCAACGGCAGCAAGAGGAGAATGCTAGCATCCCACCTCCGTCGGCCTCCGAGGAATTTCCCGGTGCGGAAGAGAGGTGTAGGGTAAGGAACTGCGGATTTCTGCTTCGAAATTGGCTGGCAAACAGGTATTCAGGAGGCAGAGATATTGGCGTGTGCGGACAGGGAGTTGGCAACCGCACTGACCGTTTGGAAATCTCGCGCAGAATGAGCCGTGGTGTGAATTTGATCCAAACACATCCTGTGTCATGGCACGTGGAGGCAATTGTAAATCTGTGAGCAGGACATCAAATTGCGACAAGAAGTTGCATTGCAATTTTCAGTCTTGATTGAACCTGTTGGAGCATTCAGACTTACTTTCAGAATAGAACTGGTTGGCAAACTTGGATAATTGTCAGAAAAGACCTCACCCATCGGGTAGTGCCGATCCTGAACCTGGTCAACTCCTGGTCCCAAATACATGCGCATTGTGTGTGTGTGTGACCTCACAGCCCATCCAAAACTAAGGAAACATTGCCAGTGAAACCACATACTGCTGACCTGGCAAGCTTCCTAAAAAATGCGTTTCGAATTCGACACTCCCTGCCTTGCCTGAAATGCAAGCTCAGTGGGTACACCCAAGAGCCTAGCTCAGTGGGTGCACCCATGAACTGTTGAAAACACAGACCCGTGTTCGAATCCAGATGATGGAACCCCTTGATGAGTAAAGTTGTAAAACCAAACAATGTTTCTGAATTGCCTGGGGCCGGTCAGATTAATGATGATAACTCAAGGCCGTCGCCCTTTTTTTTGAAAAAAAAAAAAAAAAAAAAATGCAAGCATAGCAAACTCTCCTATCGTCACTTTGTGTGACTTTCCTGCATAGCTGGGTGGTGAGTAAATACTAAATAGCCATTCTTGCTAAGTAAATGTATAGCCATTACTGTCAAGAGTGACCAAATGGAACACTGTTCATCATCTAGAGTACAACATATAGGAATGTAAGATAAATGTTGATACGCATTATCATACTGTTGACTTGTGAGCTTTTGGTAAAGTAATTGATACAAGAATAGGATAGCACAAGAAGAAAACAAGAGTAGCTATCCCATGAACAAAGTCATTGCAGCGTCCTCATTTTTTGATATGAAGTGTAGAAAAGCACGACAGGGAATAAAAAGTGGGCGATGTGGTAAAAATGAAAGGCGAGCACCATGTTTCCAGTGTGGTGAAACAGCGCTACTCGACGAAGGAGACTGTGGTCTGTCCTAGAACGGAAGCGCAGTTCCATTCAAGCTACCCTTTGTCCAAAGGGATAGCTACTCCAAAGATGGTTACACTGAGCGTAGTGGGTGAGTGAGCCACTTGTGGGCGAGAATTAACGGTTCCCTGCTTTGTGCATGCGCATGGTTTTCCTCGTCGCTGCTCTTAAAATTTACAGTCTGGTGCCCCAGTGGCGAAAGGTTGCAAAGACTTGGACGCACACATTCTACATGAATTGCCACTTTACCGACTTCCCACGGTATTGCTATGGTTCTTTGTTTGTATAAATAAGAACTAACTGTTCACCTTGTAGGTCTAAGGCAGCATCCCCTCCGGAGGCCTTTCACAGAAGATGAAGAGTTGTTGATTGGGGTATGTTGTGTTTGCAAGGATCTGTAATATCCAATCCTAGTTTTAGTGAACATCGACCATGAGATTTATTTGTTCGCTGCTTGTGGTTCGTTCGTGTACGGAATCGAATTCAATGGCACAGCGGATCATAGTTTTAACAACCAGATTGACCAAACGATACTGTATATATATTTGGTACAGATTTGTTAGAGGAACGGTTGGGACCTCTATAGGGTTGATAATTCACTTAAGTTCAGAGCTCAGGTACTGGGAAGGAAGTAAACTAGATTTCAATGTTTCAAATAGAATGCAAGATCGCTGTTCGGGAAGGCATCGTCATGTTTGTGCCATCGGGCTTCCCTCGTGGCATAAACTGTTGGCAGTTGATGTTGGCAGTCGATGTGCGATGTTGCTCCAACCTCCGTATACGTGGTCATTGTACGTACAGTCGTGCACACTGGGCTGCAATTCTTTGTGCGTGCAGCGTTGTCGCCACTCTGGTTCATGGTCTGCCCATTTTGGTGGGAAGTTTCTCTTTCCCAGCGTTGAATAGGGTCCTAAGCTTATTTTTCTCAGCGTTCCACTGGGGAAGTGTTGGAACACTCCATGGGTAAGGCTTTTCGTATTGTTCGCATGGTTTGAACTGGGCTCTGCTTTATAATTTGAGCTTTCGACCTGGTGTGACTTTTAGCACACACCCATTGTAATTGCGATCCAGCCTCCAAACCGTGCCGGTCATGTTTTGAGACATGCCAATTTTTAGTTTTGTGCCAGTTCTTTTTGTGGCAGGTTCAGGTTCTGAGTCTGAAACTTCATGCAGGATTTTTTTTTAACGTCAAAAGACTCGAAATGGCATATCCGACAATCGGCTTGCTTGGACCAGCAGCACTCGTTGACCATAATTTTGGAGTTGAGTTTGTGGCTGTGCGCAATGTTGCTTTCGAAGCCCGGGTCAGGTTTTTTGTGAATCCGACATGCTTAGCTGCTTGTGGCATGTTTTGGTCATTTTCTGCTAGGCTTTGCTGTAATGCGCTGTGGTCACGGTAGTAACATGAAATGAAGTATTCCAAAGTCGAAAAAGAAAAAAAGGTTAAGAAAGCGTTGTACTAGGAATCGCTGAAGTGTCGTAACGTGCATTTGAGGGGCTCCAAAAGTACCCCTCATGTTTGCAATATAATGAGCTTAGTCTGGTTTTGATTTGTTTCTTTTCTAAACCACCACTACCTTTCACAGGCAAACACAAAGTCCATCTGGTAACCAACTCCTAAAAAGTCAGGGGCTGAGGGCAGGGTTGGAGGCCGAAGAAAAGATAATGAAAAAAAAAAAGCAAGAAAAAAAAGTGGAAAAACTGGAAGAGTTTCCAACCTCTTGGCTGGTCCTCTGCACCTTCCATCGAGAGGATGAGGAACATTGAATGAAACTACCGCTTGAACATGGAAATATACATTGACACACTTGTGTGCGCACACGCGCGCGTGTGTGTGTGTGTGTGTGTGTGTGTGTGTG